AATAAAATGATGCTTTAAATTGTTGAAAATGTAGAGCTCATAACAGAATTAAATGATACATGTAACTTTTGTGTTGAATGAACATTACGAATAGGTAAAAATTGCAGAAATCTGATAAATCTAAGTAATTTTTAAATTTCTTACTTTATTATAATAATTATTATGAAACTAACTTTGATAATGCGTAGAAAATTATTCTTAATACAAGTTAATATTATGAATTTATACCATGACCTTTTATAAAACCACTCGGTGCTGTAATAAAAATTCTACTAAATAAAGTTTTTTTTTAATTATGATTGTTAAGAAAAAGGAAAAAATTTAAGCTTAAAATTTATTCTCTTTTTAAAAAATAATTTTCCATTTTAAAAAAAATACCCTTTGTAAAACTTCAAAGCAAAACTTCGAACAAAATATGTATTTTACTACAGAATATAACAGAAATTATATGCAACATGTTGCAATTTTCTATCAATATAATACAAAACGATCAATATATACAAAATATTTAAAATCATTTTTCATTAAAAAAAAAAAAAAAGTTCGATCAAACGGAAACTTTACCACAAACCTTCTAACAAAATATTTTTTTTTTAAAATCAGCTCGCATACTTCTCGAACTTGCTTCGTTGAGAGCTCAGATATTTCAGAACAAAACAAAATATGTTCAAAAATGTCTTTTTTTAACGATTTCAACGAATAAAAACAATTTCTCCGACAGTATCGATTTAATATCACCATCTTCAGAAACCTCGTATTATAATACCAATTGGATTAAACCTCAAGCAGTCTCGATTCATCGTAATGTAATAATAAGAATGATAAAAGGGATGAAATCCCAAATCAGTCGCGGTTGAACGACAAAATGAAGGCCGGGGGGTGGCCGAAAATTCAATCGTCTGCCTGATCCGATTAGATTAGTCGACTGCGTGCAATGACCATATTCCCCAGCTTGTTTTTGCTAACAATCGGTGAGCCTAAAGTTGTGATTTAAATTGTTTTTCAATCCCGATTGAGATCTATATTCAGTTTAATATTTACATAAACCGAAAATATTCCATACGAAAACCGACAGAAAACACGATATTTTGTTTATTTATTTTTATTTATTTATTTTTTGATTTCTTTCTCTTTTCTTCACAAATATTTGCAGTTTCAAAACGTCGGAATTTTTTTCCCTAAAAGTAAAAGTTTCTTTTCTAAACGTAAAAATAAATTAAAAATATGAAAATGCTTGTTTACATTATGCTTTGATTTATGAATCAAATGTATAAAAAAATACTTAAATTATGCATGCAGACTAACAACATTGAAAGTAGTTTTTTTATCGTCTTACCTTTATGAAATATTTTTTTTATAAATCAATTAATTGTATGTTTCTTTTTTTATTCATATTTTATATTTTTGTTTCTATTGTTTGCTATATTGAAAAACATTTGCAATTTTAAACATAGGATTGAAAAAACAAATAGTAATACATATTTAGAGTTTGTCTGCTGTATTTTATTTACATTCTGCTCCTGCAAATATTTATGTTACAACAGTTTAATAATATTTTGATACTAAATGGAAGGTAATAACCCTGAAAAATTAGAAAATAGTAAAAAATTATTTTAAGATATTAGCACACTAATAACAAGAAAGGAAGGAAAATATGATGTAATGATAGCGCTATTCAACTGAACTCAAAAGCATAGCATAGAAAGCATTGAGAACAAAATTGTATAGTGTATATTTTAGACATCACATTATTTTATCAATGCCATTTTCTTAAAGTTTTAGTATTTATCAAAGAACAACATTGAAATATCTAGATTATATGCAATGATAGACAAACTAAATTATTATGTTCTCAAAGAGTGAAAATTTTTATGAACCCACGCATAAATCCGATTTTTTAATAAAGCCAAATCTCATTTCAATTTATTTGTAGTTTTAATTATCATAATAGTGTAACAAATCTCTATTTTTGGGGAATTTCATGAAATGCATAGAAAGTTTTTTTTTTTTTTTTTTTATACTTTTCATAAGGAATTTTTACTTATGACAATAATAGTTAATAATTGTATTTTTCGGTTAAGAAAAGTATTTGTAGCAGAAATTCGGAACTGTTCGTTGAGTTACGTTCATTCGTGCAATTTTATAAGGATTATTTAATTGTTTTTCATAAATTTGCATGGAAAGTGCTATTATCAAGTAATAAGAAATTATTGCTTAGAATGAGGATATTTTATATTGAAACCTTTATTTTTTAGGGCACTAATAAAATAAGAATTAACAAATATATTCAGGAATAATTATCGATCATAAGTATCAAAATCATATTGAACATTTCTGAGGATATCAGCAATCAAAAACTTAAACTTTTTCGTTAACATAATAAATGTGAAAAAAAGTAAAAAAAATAAAGAAATATATGTATGTATGTATACAGTCTCTTATAGTAGTTCTGCACTAATCGCAGCATCATGTTGCCTTTCTTGCATTTTTGCAGAATGATAACAGTAGTTAAAAGTTTAGAATCACGATGAACTTAAAAAGTTATCAAACTTCCATCAAACTTCTAGTTCCAAGTTCAACCATATTATTGTGTAAATTAATCACTCCTAAACTTGACTACCCTATAACGCAACATGAACAGGAACATCGCTTTATTATACATCTTATTAAAGTAACTGCATATTGGAACATTGCTATTGTTCAAAGTTGATAAAGCAAAAAGATATAACTGTTCAATTCTGAATGGTTTTTATTCATTTTTTTTTCTTTAAGTGCAAGCAAACAGTTTTGACAATTTTCGTTACGTTAAATTTCAGTCTCCGTTGCTTAAACCTGCAGTTTTAATACCTTTCAACTCCAGTTTTTTTTTGTTGTTTTTTTTTTCTCAATAAAATTCACTTTAATTGCCTTCATTTCTTACAAGAAATACGAAAATAAGAAACAAACGCCTAAAAGAGATGCCTAAATCGTACCTCCTCTGATTTCTGATTAAAAAACATCGCACAGAAAACGCTCTAGCGTATAAATTATTACTTGTTTCTATTAGGAATATTAATTTTTCAGCATGGAGATGTCCCACAGTGGACTGGTCGTAATGACACGGTTCCCAGTACAACACCGAAGTCAAGTAACCCTGGCTCCGGTCAGTAAGCGCGTGGGTGACCACTTTGATCAGCCTGAGTAGGGACCGAAGGTTCGCGGTATCGTCCTCATTAAACTGTTCTACCGTAAAGTGCTCGACTTCGCTCGTGGGTCGTCGGGCTACCAAAGTAAGGAGTCATTCCCTCTGCAGAGGATCAAAATTGCGATGGCATGTCTTCGGATCATCCTCAGAGATGTTTCCCAGACCGTCGCCAATAGCCCATTGTGCAGCTCTAGTGGGACGTAAATAAAGTACCTACCTATCAGCATGGAGATCCGTGTAGAAAAAGTTAAATTGCTGTGTTTTCTCGTTATTATTTAAGTTAATTGGTTTTACAAGTATTCAATAAAATTTTGAACAGCATGAATAAGGATGTAGCAGAACTGCAATAATGTGCAGATTATTTAATACATCATGTAATTAAGCAACTTATTCGATTATGTTCGACTTGTTTCTTTGCTAGCTATCTGTTGTTAGAGGCTTGGAACAATATTTTCGTTAAAACTTCACGTAGTTATCAATAACACTACGTGTGATTTCTAAATCGTAGCTGTACGACATAGGGGCAACGTATGAAGTTAAACTACTGAACAGGTCAAGTTTCAAACCATTTGGACTGTATTTTACTTAGCCTTCAAACCATTTGAAAAGTGGCTGAGAACTACTTCTGAATTAAATCTCATCTATTACCAAATTTCTCATCTTGTGAATGAGGCAGGCTTATGCGAAGACTGCAACAATTAAGAATTAAGTTTGAAATCGATTTCTGATGATTCTGGACAATTCTGATGCGTCAATCTTTAATTAAACTGTCGTTTTGATAGCGGACGCGAATCAATCAGAAAAAAACGAAACTATTTCAGCAAACTTAATGAGATTTAATATCCTTATGATGGGAATTATTTTCCTCATTCCAAGGAAGGAAAAAGTGAGGAAAAACATCTAAATGAGGAGTTTTCTGGTTAGTCGAGTAGTGATCTAACAATTATTAGATTACGATTTTACAGACCTATCTGCCCCAGTGTTTTCGATGTTGAAGGTTAACATCTAAAGGATGAGCCTTCTGGTTTGTCAAATAGTGATCGAACAATTATTGGATTGAAAGGTGATTTCATAGAACGATCTGCCCCAATACTTTCGATATTGAAGGCTTCAACCGAACCAATATCCCCATTTCTAAAAACTAAAGAAAAAATAAGAAGTTTGTTATAGACCCAAAAAGATGCCTTCGCAAAAAGCAGCATTTACAAATTCAATTCACAGTTGAACACGTAACAACATGTTCCTCTCATGTAACTTGTAACAGATCATAAATTTAATATCACATTTCTTGTTATGCTATTAAACAATTGTTTAGGGTTACACATATTTTTGAGGGACTACGATTTAGAGAGCAGGTAGTACGAATTCGGCAAATGGTTTCCGAAATCGTATCACTTTCAGACCTCGCAAAAACAATTAATTTTTAGTACTTAATGCACAAATGTTATTACTAAAAAAACAATAATATAAGTAGCTGAATGTCTGTTTTTTATTAGTAAAATATTTAATATTTAACTGTCAGTGATCAGAGACTGATAAAAATTTAAGTGTTACGATTTAGGCAACTCCAATCTAAGGCTTCTTCAATAACTTGAAGTATAGATTTAAAAGTAAAAGATAAAATTGATTCCTTAGTAACAAAGGTGGTACGTTTTTTAAATGTAAACTTTCGTTGTAATTGATTCAGTGGTCAAAATAGCCGGACCACTGTCTCTTAATCTGTAAAAGAATTTTTTTAAGGAAAAGAGAAGGAATTGCACCGTTGTATAAGATTTGGTGCTAAAAAGAGAATGATATCCAATCCTTGCTTTTATAGATGACAAGAATCTTTGGTCCGGCTATAGCAGAACTTTGACTAACAACGGGATTGTATTGTGGAGTTCTGATACCGACACTCACTACTCTAACCCCTGTGGTAAGAACTCTGTCTCTATCTCTTCCTGCATGTCTACTATTATTTCTCGTCTGCTTGCTACAGTGCTCGTCGCCTTCTGCAACTCACTTCTGTTTATTTCTCCTGTTCTTTCTTTTATTTCTTAGTTTCTTTGTAGTGGTGTGTCGTGTGTGGAACGCCAACGATACAATTTTGTATTTGGACTAAGTATTATTTTTTGAACAATTACCAAATTTGCATGTTTTAAGATGTATATAATAATTTTTATGTAATGATTTTTTCTTTATTATTTTTATTTATGCATTTTTTTCGCATAACATTGTTCAATGCGAATGTTTGCAATAAGTGATAAGTTTTCCCTCTGGTTATGATGTCATACGTAGATTTTAAGAAAAGCTTTTATATATCTAATGTCATTTCAACGCATTTTCCAATTGCAAAACATAAAATCTGACATGAGAGTTTGTTTTCCTGCTTCCGAAACAGTTTGGCTGATGTGAGAAGTTAGTTCTTAGTAATTGTCAATCACAAAACGAAAAAAATTTAGTTAGAAATTAATTAGTAATTGTATTTTTTTTTTCTATTTTCACGAGCGAAACATTAAGGCCATTGTGAGAAAGTAGTTTTTTAGCATTTTTACGAGTGAAAAGTAAAATATGGTGTGAAAAATTAGGTCTTAACTTTTTTCGCATGCTTTTTATTCTGAGGCGTGAAATTAGTATTTTGCACGATTAATTTCTTTTATAAAAAAGTAGTATTTAACTTTTACGATTTAGCTTCTCGCGAAAGATATAGGCTGCCGTGGAAAATTAGTTCTTTGTTTTAGCCAATATAATTTTCACTGAAGTTATGTGTTGTTTGAAAAGATTTTTCAGAACAAAACTCGTGTTTCTCCTCGTTAAGTTATTTAACTTGTTATATAAGTTATTTTTAGTACTAAATGAAGTTAGTAATATTAAGAAAGAATACATTAAGAGAAAAATAAGGTTCGAAAAATAAACATATTCTGCGATTGCGAATACTATAAGCAGTCGTTGAAAGGTATTCTGTAAAATTAATGCAATTTTTTTTTTTCATTATTTTGAGATAAAACATACGAGAAAAGGATTTATTCTAAATTTTCATTTAGAATTTTTTTCTTTACATAACATTAAAAAGCTAGCTTATCACACCAAAGTTGACACCAAAATATTGATTAAATATCAGCTAAATTGTCCTAGATATTTAATAAAATATCTAGGATTAGATATTTAATTAAATATTAAATAATTGTTAATATAATTTAACCTAATTCGATGTTTGAAATGTTTGAATAATAAGTTATTTTCATTATTAATTGTTAATTTGTAATTACTGGAAAATTGTTAATTTGTAAATATTGAAATAACTAACCGCTAGATTAATTAACAAATAATATTGCATGATCAGTTGTAGTAGTAATTAAAAAATGTTTCTTTCATTTAAATGTAAATATCTATTTTTATTTATTTATTTTGTTTACATAAACTAATTGGTTTGTCTTTAAATAACATCAGATAATGAATTAAAAAGTATTGCCAGAAAATATCAGTTTTTTGAGGATATTTTAAAAATGAAAAGATGAATGGGAATAAAAATGCATTGTTTATCTAAGGTCGATAAAATAAAATTATTTGAAAAATAAATGCAACCTATTGTTTACACAAAATCAACAACAATAATGTCTGATTTTCAGAAATATTATTTATACTAATTTCAATAATGACAGAAAACTGTAAATTGTTAATTACCATCTATAACTTTTTCGATTTTTGCAATTCTACTGGTTGAATAATAAGTATCAGATTGTTTATTATTCTATTAATTATGTCAGGTTCAAAAATAAAACACAATTAAATAGGTAATAATCTATTGTTTGAGTAATATTAATTGTGTCTAACAACAATGGCAGTATTTGTCAGTAATGAAGTAACGAATATTTCTCATATTTTAATGTCAACTTAAGCACTGATACCTATTGATGTTACCGACATTAATAAAAATTCCTTATCGACACTCTCATTATTAAGTTCCTCATAGTTTGTGTGAATATAATGTTAGATAAATAGCCTTCTTTAAATTGTTCTAATTTCAATCACGCCAGCTATCACATTAAGGTGATGTTCATTTAAGCAAAAGAAATTAGGCTTAGTTTTAAAGAAAATATGAATGTAATTAAATCGGAATACGCAGAACATAAAAGATAAAAATATTTTTCCCTGAATATTTGTTGGGAATATATCCCTCTTTAATATTTATATATTGTAAGTTATAATAATTTCCCCCTTTTTTTTTAAATTGGGTATATGAATATTAACACCAATGTATGGTTCGATTTAGTCCAAAAAGCTATCTAATTTGCACTTGATCATAAAATGCATTAATTTATCTTGTCACTAATGGTTACACTGGATAAATGATAAAAATTGAAAAATTTAAATCTTAATAATTTAATTAAAGATTACTAAACAGACGAGATGAGTATTTTTATTTGGTTTAAAAGGGAAAATTTTACATGCATTTGAAAAATTATTTTTTACGCGATATGAAGTCATGTTAGGATGATAATAGCTTTGATATTTATAGTTTTCATACTGTCAAATATAGTTCAGAAGAATTAAAGTTCTTGAAAAGACCAATTTTAAAAACAAAATATTAGAAGTAGATAAACATGTCGTAAATTTTGGGTTTTTATTGCATATTAAAATTAATATCATAAAAATGTGGACTTTAAATTTAGTAATTTTCTTAATTTGTATTCTCTTTATGTAAAATAATCTTAAAAAGTTACGCAAATTCGTGTACAGTTATCAGAAATAAATAATTTTTGTAATTAAAAATACAGGGTGTACAGGATGGTCATAATTAAGTTTTTCGAAATCTAATTGATAGAAATATTAAAAATAAATTTGGGTAAGATAAAGTTTATATTGATAGTAATTATTTACCATACATGATTGATGTAATATTGATGTATAGTATATATTTACTATATATTCTATACTATTAACTATATTGCTATTCTATATTTGATAACTACTATTATACTACTCAATTTACTGTAATGTAAATTTTTATCATACACTATATATAGTGCATATATGTAAATATAGTGCTATGGTTTATATTTGTCCTAAGTTAGCGTTCAAAAACGTTAATTGGCATACAATAGATTATAATCTTATGAGCAAAATTTTTTTTTCAAAAAAAAAACTTTGAAAATTCAAAATCATTTTCTTTATTTAATCATTTTATAAATACAGTTTATTTTAATTCCCAAATTTCTATTTCTCGTGATTTGAAATTTCTTTTAATTTATGAGCTCTAAACAATTAAACATTTAATTATAATACTTCATAACTAATTTTGTCGCGGTCATGGATAAAAACCTAAAATTAATTTATTTTGGAAAATCTGTTTTTTTTTCTTCAATCACTGATTTTAAATTTTGTTTTTCAGAGGGTCGGGAGTGCGTGAACTGCGGGGCCACCTCGACGCCGTTGTGGCGCAGGGATGGCACGGGACACTACCTTTGCAATGCCTGCGGACTCTACCACAAAATGAACGGTCAGAACAGACCGCTCATAAAACCCAAGAGGCGACTAGTAAGTCTCTTATTTTTTAACTAATTATAATTCATTGATAAATACTTCTGTACATCATACTTACAATTAAAATTAGTTTTGAAATTTTCTTGAATTGCATGATATAAAAATTGTATAAATGCGGTGCTGTAGTTCTTAAGGTAGTTGTTTTGCAACTGTTCATTAGTTAATTAATGGACATAATGCTTAGTTACTGATGGATAGCAAAGGGTATTTATTAAAATAAAAGTGAAAAAAGTTCTTTTTGCTGAAATAAGTTACGTATTTTAGATAAATTGCAAAATAAGCTTTCTCTTTTTTTACTTTTCAAATCACCCAAATGTCAAATCACATTAGTATCTGTCATTATATATCCAGGCGTAGATAGATGCACGTCCTATTAAAAGTAAAGCATTCCGCAACAGCCCATTGTGAGCCAAGGTGTCATGGAGATTAAGGATCCACAATTTTTTGATCACCTGTTTGACAATGGCAATGTCGTTTTTATTTCTTAGACAAGCAGATACCCATTGATCTGAAGCAGGATTGGCTCTAACCCACCGTTAGGGATCGAACCTCAGACCTTTAAGTTAGTCCTTCACACCGATGGCATAGTGCTTTTAACTACTGAGTCATCGCGACTAAATTTAAATGTTTAGAATTTCCAATTACGGTTTCAATGACTATTAATTATGATATATTTCTTTCTTCGAATACGTAGTGATGTCGTAATATCTTTCCGCTCGACAAACTTAACTCTTTATTTGATTTAAAACGTTAGATAAACTATTTGTATTTAATTCTCACATCATTAATTATATTTTAGTTTAGCTTAATTGTTTGGCAATAGTGTTGTTATCAAAGTGTTTTTGGATTAACGTCCATAGAAATTTCTTATCCAAGATTCTCTTACCTTATATAGTTGCTGTTTCGACACTAAATATTATTTCAACAGATATTAATTGCTTTTCAATTCATTGTTAATTAAGGTCAATTGAGTCACAATGGCTTACGACGCAGGGGTCATTCGAGGGCCGAAACTTCACCTTCGCGACAACCGTTCAATAATGTTGTGTTTCTCAAAAATAATGACCTTCAGAAATGAGGAGGGAGAAAGAGTAGGGGAAATGATAAATCCCTTTCATAAGCATCTTATAAGCTCTTAGTAACATAGCTTAAGATCATCGGCGACTCATTGTCTTGTCGGTGTTTCGCAGTTAGTGAATGCTACACGTGGCTCGAATGCTTAAATAATTCTCATCAGGATGTGACGTCGAAGTCCTTGCGCCGCAATTTCACCTGTTCGTCAACTTTCATTTGAATAGTTTTTGCACCTTATAACTTTCTACTTATGATGGAGAAATGAGTTTTGATTTCTTTGTAAATAAGAGGATTTTTTTTTCTTCAATAAATAGCAAAAAAAGAAGGAAGAAAAAAAAAACATTTACATTAAATTGCACGAATTAAAAACTACGTTATTAACTTAATTATTTGAAATTTTCTTTGTATTTTTTTTTATTTATTTCCATGTTGTTGATACACTTCGACAACGATCCTTTTCATTTGGGTATTGAGCTTTTGTTGTTAAAATTCATACAAAATTCGTCATTTTAATTGTAATATTTGTTTTACGCAACATGACATCATACTATTAATTGTCCTTATAATCTATTAACCGTTTATTAAATTCAACTAACATTCAGAGTATTATTTTAAAATATAAAAAAAATATTCATTAGTTTCTTTTAGGCAAAAAAAAAAATAATAATAAATAGATAAATAAAAAATAGACATTGATATACTATACAATATTTCCAATTAAAATTTTTTTAAAAATAATTATTGTTTATTTTTCGCATGCTTTGTCATCATTTTTCCACTTAAATTTTAATTATTTTTTTCTCAAAATTCAATGCATGACACCAATATCTTACACATTATTAATTGCCCTTTGAAATAAAATACAGCAATAGATTAACGTTCAATAATTGTTTAATTAGTTGAAACTTTTCTTACATTTTGAATTTATTTCAATGTTGTTGTTTATTTTTAACTTAACCTGACAATTCTTTTCTCATTAAAATTTGTAATTCTTGTTTTCAAAATTCAAAGAGTGGCATCAAAATTAGACTTATCATTAATTGTTTTTACTACAAAGATAAAAATATAAAGCATTTATTAAATTTAACTAACTTTCATTGTTTGTACTTTAATTTCAATAATAAATTCACTAGCTTCTATTAAAGAGAAAATGACTACCTATTATATGCAATAAACAATGTAGGCCTAGTGTCTCGTATTAGACCGACATTGTTTATTTTATGATATCTTTACTTTTCTTGATCACTTTTCCTTAAACAAAAGTTTGCGTGCGTTTCTCCTTTTTTTTTCTCTAATTTTTCGAAGACGAACCGTTAATGAAGTTTCATCTTTACTAACCGTGCAAAATGCAAAAGTTTCGGTTTTTCAAAGAAAGAAGAAAATAAACGTGTCAGGAAAACAGTCTCAGGTGTCGAATGTCGAGCTCTGATTCCAGATTAAATTTACTTTAGTCACGAGATGATAGAGGAAATTCTTGCCAGTTTTGTTTCCTATGTTCTATAGAAATAGATTAACATTACAACTAACGAAACTAATGACTCTTCTAAAAACTATTTGGCGTTTTTTAAAATTCAGTTTTTCCTTAGAAAACTAAAATATCACCAGGCATTTGTTTATGAAGATTTTGTTATTATAAAGAATTTCCTTTAGATTTTTCCAGAAGAGCGACCAATAATTAAGTTAATGCTCGTTTTTTTAATGATTTATTTATTTGTGCAAAAGTGAAGACAAAACACATGGTACACACTCATTATTTTGTGAATTCAATCCTTCCAACAAAAAGTTCTAAATGATTAATACTCATGAAACAAAGCTGTACTTTAATTTGATAAATCGATTTTAAATCTATAAATATTGAGTTTTAATTATTTCTGGTTTTTTTTTAATGAGTTTATTTGATTGAACTCAATTATGAACTTAAATAAAAATACCTGTAGCAAAAATCTTAAAAAAAATTCAAAACAGGGTTTGAAAATCTGTTGGTCTAGAAATTTTTTTTTTTTTTAAAAATCGAATATCTCTTAGCCGTCTATAAAAATTACGATGAAATTTTCAATTGTGTATTTGAAAAGAACTTAGATTTGCATCTATAGGTTCTTAAACATGGTTAATGGCACTTTCAAATTCTAGAGGAAAATAAATTAAGTCTTCTTAAATAGTTTACTAAGTTAAGATTTCCAGATTTTTCCAAAGTATTTTAAAATGCACCAATTCGCAAATAAACTGTTCCTGAATGAAGAAAAAATTTATGGTAAAATTACCGTATTGTAAGGTTATGACATTTCTGGTAAAATAAACGCGTAATCCTAGTTAATGAAATCAGCGGTATTTAAACCACATGTAGTAATTTTTCTGTTCATATGGTTTTACGGTTTACCGGAAATTCTGGTTTTCAAAATTATAGTCCTTATTACTACACATTCAGTAAAAAAATACAAAACTGTAAAGTTAATTTAACCGAATAAACGGATTTTATGTCATTCTCTAAGGTATCACGGTAAAATTACCAAATTTTATGACATTTATAAAATTTTATCTCCCATTATTAAACCATAGTTGTTAATTTTACCAAAATCGTTAGTAAAGCACTTCGACGAAAAAACAAAAAATTTTTTTTCTTTCTGGTACCCCAATGGAGCCAGAAACACGCCAAATTTTACTATTTTCTGATGGTTTTAACTAAAAAAAAATTTCTCAGCGTGCACATGAATTCTTCTAAAAAAATTTATAGTTTTCAAATCGAGTTCTAAACGCTTTGTAGAGAAGTTTTTTCTAAAGGGAAATTAGATCTAATAATATATTATTCTAAATTTTTCTAAAAAAAAAAATTCATTTTTTGAAACATGTAAATTATTATTTTTAAATTTATTTCATTCATTTAAAAATAATTGAAGTTAACTGTTAACTCTAAACAAATAGCAAATCTCAAACATAAACAAAAGCAAAACAGATAGGCAGGATAATTGAATGAGATAGCTATCTTCTTTTTTTTTTATCAAGCAATCTAATCTTTGAACAGTGTTAGCTAACTAGATTTACCGAATCTGCATACAGGAGTCCGTCATTTATCATGGTCTTTATGAATTCATTTGTCATGAATTTCATAAAGTGGAAGAAGAAAAAAAAATTTAATATTGAGTGCGTGACAAATCTGATAAAGAATAATTCTGAGACAAACTCTCCAACAAACAAAGTTTGTTGATCCGTTTCGAACTCCAGTCTGTCATCGCGTGCACTACCCTCCATCACTAAATGATGAGCGATGGCCAGTCACTAATGAGCCTTAACCATTTTCACAATGGGATTATGTTGCCCGAAATTGAAATAATTCTGGACGGCTTTCACTCTTTCTCTGGTAGCACCTCAAAAAAACAGGATGCTTCGTACGAACACGCAAATCCTTTCATGCAAATCATCCACGCAAATTAAGTCGATTTCATCGAATAGTTTATACCGCTACAAACATCGCCACAGTATTCCCATCAAATAACTGTTAAAACCACAAATTTGAGAGGTTTTTCTTAGTATCGATTGCATATTTTTCGTACGTGTGTTTAGCCTTTTTGTTGTTAAATTTTACTATAAAGTACGTCAGTAAATCTTAAAGTCAGTAAGTAAAACTAAGATAAGACTAAATTGGGAACTGTTTCCTTAAAAAAACACGTTAGAAACACTTGTCAGCGTTGAAATAAACAAAAATTTTTATTATAGAGATTTTGCAAGGCCACACCTAACTCTAATGTTAACGCTATTTGAGTTTCACAGCGTATGCGCGAAAATTCCTCTACAAATCGCGATGTCAATTAGGGTTAGCGGTATGGTTAACACCAAACGTACCCAATGCAAAATTTCTCTAATGTGCAATTATACGATCGCATGTCGTAAAAAGAAAAAAAGGTTTCGTGCATTAATTTTGATTG